TGACTGAGGTGGTGCTGCCGCAGAGTTGTTGGGCTGGAGAGAAGGTTCAGGGTTCCTGAGACTCAGAAGGTTGGTTTCTGCTCCAGAAAGCCATGGTGAGTCTTTGGACTTCTCCGGGACACCGAGTTCTTTATTCTTAAAATGCAGGGGCTCCCTCAGGACCTTCTCAGCCCAAATGCTCTGTGAAGCTGGTTTTATCGGATTAGCTTTGGGCTGTCTGGCCTAGTGCAGCCCAGCACTGAGTTCTGAGTCCCTGAAACTGACACGGTACTAGTACCTCTCCTAAAGATAGACATGGAGTGGTGTGACCATTCGGAGTGCGCCCTGATGGGGAGAGGGTGATGGGCTCGGAAACACAGGCCCAGCCCCCAGACCGTTCCTCCCTTCTTGATTAGACCACAGCCCGTCCCAGCTCTCAGTACTTTTCCATCTCGGCTGAAGATTTTTGGATTCTTTCCAGTGCTGCCAACAAGAAATGCTTCAGTAATTTTCAACTCTTTGGGGGTTGGGCCTCTCCAAAGCAAGAGTTCCGAGGCCCAGAGGCCAGCGCCACCTCTACTGGACCCAGCAGTGTGGGTCTGGCTGTTCACTGTTAGGATTCTGCAATGTGGGGTCAAGGGATATTGTTCAGTGATCCGGGAACCACATGATCCTGGGGACTAAACCCAGGTCCTTGTGCGTGGCAGGACTTTTGTACTCCATCCCCTGAGCAATCACCCCAACATGGTGGATTTTTGTTTTAAGATTTTTTAATTGAATCATTGTGAGATAGATCCTTACAGATAGTTCGGGTTTCAGTCATACAGAGTTCCAACATCCATGGCTCCACCAATGTATTTTTTTCCCAGCACCAGTGTCTCCAAGTTCCCTCCCATTCCCCCCCCCCCCCCATCCCAGCCTACCTCCATAGAGGCACTTCCCTCTCTCTCTCTCCCTCCCCATCTCTCTCCCTGTCTCTCTCTTTCTCCCCCTTTTTGTGCATTGTGGTTTGCATTACAGGTACTGAAAGCTATCCAGTATATCCTTTACTTAATTTTAGCATTCAGTTCTTCTCCAACGTGATCATCTCCAGCTATTATTGTCGTCCTGGTCCCTTCTCTATCTTACCTATGCTCTGTCTCACACACACTTGTGGTTGATTCCTACCATTGACCAGCCCTCATAGCCCCGGTTTTACCTGACTGTGGGTATTATTCTTCTACTGTGTAAATTTTTTATATACCACAAATGAATACAGTTGTTCTACATCTGTCTCTCTCTTTCTCACTTATTTCACTCAGCATGATACTCTCCATGTCCATCCATTTATAGGCAAATTTCATGACTTCATTTTTCCTAACACCTGTGTAGTATTCCATTGTGTAGATGTGCCATAGCTCCTTTATCTATTCATCTGTTCTTGGGCACTTGGGATGTTTTCCAGATTCTGGCTGTGGTGAACAGTGCTGCAATGACCATAGGAGTGCACATGGTGTTTCTGCTGTGTGTTTTTGGCCCCCAGGGTATTTTTTTTTTTTTTTGCTTTTTTTTGGTCACACCCAGCAATGCTCAGGGGTTACTCCTGGCTTTGCACTCAGGAATTACTCCTGGAAGTGCTCAAAGGACCATATGGGATGCTGGGAATCGAACCTGGGTCGGCTGTGTGCAAGGGAAATGCCCTGCCTGCTGTGCTATCACTCCAGCCCCCCCCCCCCCCCGGGTATATTCTTTTTTTAAATTTTTATTAGTGAGACATCACGAGGTACAGTTGTAGACTTACAAATTTTGTGCTTGGGTTTCAATTGCACAATGATCAAACACCCATCCCTCCACCAGTGCCCATTTTCTACCACCATGGGTCCCAGTATCCCTCCCACCCCCATCCCCCCCATCTTACCCTGCCTCTGTGGCAGGGCATTCCCTTTTGTTCTCTCTCTCCTCTTGAGTGTTGTGGTTTGCAGAAGAGGCATTGAGTGGCAATCATGTTTGGTCTATCGTCTACTTTCAGCCGGGTATATTCTTGAAGTGGTAGTGCTGGGTCAAATGGAAGCTCAATTTCTAGTTTTTTGAGGAATGTCTTTGGCCCACTTTTAAGCTCTTAATTTAGCCAGAGAAAGACAGGTGGACAGTACTCTGGGGGAAAGGCACTATTCTATGTCTAACGATTTTGCCTTGGAATTCAGTCAGACCTTGAATTCCCCTCCCTCCCCCCCCCCCCCCCCCCACACACACACCTTGTATATTCTTACAACTCAGGTATAACGAGTGACTGGGCCGGAGAGAGAACACAGAGCTTGAGCCCTGGTCTTGCATAGGGCTAACCCGGGTTTGATCTCCGGTACCACATCGGGCCCTTTGAGCCCCGCCAGGAGTGATTCCTGGTCACAGCCAGGAGGGAAACCCCAAACACCACCAGGTATAACTCCAAACAAAACAAAAGAAGCCTGTTTGTATGCCTGTCTGTCTCTGTGTGAATATGCACATGTGCCGTCCAGATACACATCCTGAGACTGCCCAGCAGCACTCCCGAAAGCATTCACTCCTGCTGTCTCCCAGGGAGCTGCGAATCTTTCCAGTGTCTGTTTGAGAGTCTCCGGTGGTCTCCCCTGCATCCCACTCTGAGTCCTGCACCGAATCTGGTGGCCTCCACCGAGTCCTACAGGCTTCGCACTCTACTTCCTTCCTCTGCCCTCCCGCCCTAGAACCCATTTCCAAGCTTAGTAACTGCCTCCCGAAGAAACGAACAGAACATCAAGCTGAGAACTCTGTTCCAAGTTCCCCTTCTCAGGCTGGCTGGGGAGGGAGTCAGAGGCGACACTGTGTGCAGAGCTTCTCAACACTCTTCCCCCGTAGCCTTTGAACACAGCCCACAAATTGCTCTTACTTCATCGCTTATGCTCCTAGCATGTCCTGACAGTGTTTCCTCGTCTTCTACCTCAGTTTTACCCCCAACAAAATGGGGATCAATGGAGTGCCACCTGGAAGTTTCTGAGGGCTGCCAGCGAGTCTGGTTAGCGATGAGTGAATGGTGGGTAAACAGGAGGCACTTGCTGCTGCCCAGAAGACAAGCGTCTCGTAAACAGACTGGAGGCTGCCCTGACTTGCCAGAGGAGCATTCCTTGTAAGCAAGAGTCAGGAAGAAAGCTACCACGGGTGAATTCCCCCCAGGGTCTGTTGGTCCCGATGACAGAGGAAACGCACAAGGTGGGTGGGTGTTCATGGCTTTTCAGCACAGAGGATGAGGGAGTCGTGGATGGAGAGGGAGAGGGAGACAGGTGCATGAGAGACCTGCTGAAGGGTTATGAATAAACAGTGCGTCACTCATCTAGGCTCCAGAGGAAACCAGGTAGGGAGAGCAGTTGGGTAACGAGTGGCAATCAAATTTGTATTCTGTTTGTGGTGGTGTGCAGGTAGGACAAAAAAAAAAAAAAAGAACGTTTCAGCCTGAAAAATAAAACCAGGGGAGACTGTCAAACCCCACTTGGAAGGAGAGAGCATGAGCCTCTCTCCATAATCTTTCACAGGTGAAAGATTTTAATGGTTTAAAATCCTCATATTAATATTTTCGTTTTCCAAGTAAGATGTCGAAGCCTCTTTGTGAGTTCACACTGTACAGGAGGTGTCAGTTGGGAAAGCTTCTTGATGTCAACCCACTCAGGTACATAGACACCCAGAGATGCACACAGACACAACACGGATACAGACACACATCAACACACTTAGCTTCTAGGCATCCCCGGTGACTTCCCTTTTCTCGTCTTTGATCGGACTACCCTGGAGCAGTTGGCTCCTGGATCAACTGCTCTTTGAAGAATCTGGACCGTTTGTGGAATTGAATACCTTCTCACTCTACAATTATTCCTTGTTTGGTTTCACACCTCAGTTTCTGATCTTGCAAGCATGATCCCAGCTGTAGCCACAAATCTTGGGTCCTAGTTTCCTATTGACAAAATGAAGTTAAGAGATTCTCAGACTGAGGGGCTGGAGCAATAGCACAGCAGGTAGGGCGTTTACCTTGCACTCGGCCAACCCGGGTTCAATCCCCAGCATCCCATATAGTCCCCTGAGCACCACCAGGGGTAATTCCTGAGTGCAGAGCCAGGAGTAACCCCTGTGCATCACAGGGTGTGACCCAAAAAGCAATAGATAGAAAATAGCCATAGAAATAAAACATGAAAACAAAGTCTTATATTCTAGCTGCTGTTGCCAGTTCCAGACAAAGAGGTTTTTTCCCTGATGTAAAGAGAAATACTGGAAAGTAAATGAGATGTGATGTATGGTTGGCTATTACTTATTTGCCCATTTCCTGTGGTCATTGCCTGGAACTCTGTCTCTTGTGCCCCACAAACCACTGCAGTGAAAGGACTTAGAAATATGGGCATCGGGGCTGGAGCGATAGCACAGTGTAGGTTGGGCATTTGCCTTGCACGCGGCCACCCAGGTTCGATTCCCAGCATCCCGTATGGTCCCCCAAGCACCGCCATGAGTAATTCCTGAGTGCAGAGCCAGGAGTAACCCCTGTGAATTGTCGGGTGTGACCCAAAAAGCCAGTCAAACAAACAAAAAAAGAAGCGTGGGCATCTGGCAGCTCCGTGTTCAGATTGCTGAGTTTATCGTCCATCCCTCTCCTGCACAGTGGAGACAGCTCATATCAGGCCACCTGCATTCTTACAGCCGAGAGGAGTCAGACATTGTCTACTGGGGCCAGACTAGCACCGAAGTGGGGGGTTTTTCAGGCACGGAGTTTAGTGTTTGGGAAACACCCAGCCTGATGCCTGCCCCTTGCAGGCTCACATGGCACTTACAGTCTTTAGTACCTGTGAATTAAAAATGTTTGGAAATGGGGCTGGAGAGATAGTACAGTGGCTAAGGCACTTGCCTTCCATGCACCAAACCTGGGCTCAAGCAATAGCACCAAACCACATCCCCAGCACCACATGTGGTCACCAAACACCGTCAGGAGAAAGCCCTGGGTGTGGCCCCAAAACAAAAATAATTATCTCAAGAGGTCTTACAGTAGAGTGCTTGCTTCAGCAGCACATACACTAAAATTAGAACGATACAGAGAGGATTAGCATGGACCCTGCGCAAGGATGACATGCGAGTTCGTGAAGTGTTCCATATTTTTGATGAATGCTGAAAGTAAACTATAGACCGAACAAGATTGCCACTCAGTGCCTCTTTTGCAAACCACAGCACCCAAAAGGAGAGAGAACAAAAGGGAATGCCCTGCCACAGAGGCAGGGTGGGATGGAGGGGAGGGCTGGGGGGTGGGAGGGATACTGGGATCCGTGGTGTTGGAAAATGGGCACTGGTGGAGGGAGGGTACTCGATCATTGTACAACTGAAACCCAAGCACAAAAATTTCTAAGTCTACAACTGTACCTCATGGTGTTTCACTAAGAAAAATTTTTAAAAATAAAACCATTTAGGTCTTTCAGAATATGATCTGGATAAACAAAACTGTGCCCAAGCAGGAAAATACTCCAAGGAAAGAATAGAATGAAATAGTTTACAGTCTTTTAAATGTTGGGGGCAATATAGGCAAGAACAGAATAGGAAATTGCCATGATTTTAGAGTTTAAAGGGTGCCTGCTGCTTGACTAATGTGATATGCCCCAGCCTCTGCTCTTCATGTGCTTATTAAAATCTGATGTGCTTACTAACTGTCCTTAATGTCTCTGTCAACTTAAATATTGGCTCATGTGTTAGGAGTCAAGGTTGGGGAGAAATATTGTATTGAATAAATAAATGGTCAGCTGAGAGCTTACTTTAAAAAAGAAGAGTTCTTACAGTAGTAAAGGTAAAGGTAAAGGCCCTCCCGTTGATCGTCGATTTGCTCGAGCGGGCCCAGTAACGTCTCCATTGGAGACTTTGTTGTTACTGTGTCTGGCATATCGAATACTCTCGGTAGCTTGCCGGGCTAAGATTTTCATAACTAGTTCTCCTGCGTCACAGCTGAAGGGCTTGCTTTCTCGTCTGGCACATAAACCAGACGGGTTCTTAAATAAGGTGGCATGGAGAAATGTCACACAGTGCGGAGCCTATGTCAGTGTAGTCCCATCCCTGGCCATAGTGTGGGTGTTGGTGTCCTGTCATCCTCCAGCCCTGGACTGAATTCCTGGACGGCCCAGACTGTAGTGGGGGCCCCTGCTGGCCTCTCCCTTTTGTGCCTTTCCTTGGTGCAGGCAGGTGCAGGCAGGTGCAGGCAGTGTTGACTGGAACGGGGACAGGGATGAAGCTATGGTTCATACTTCATACTGGTTCTCTGCAACTATCTTCTCTTTTTTTTTTAATTTTTAAAATTTTTGTTAGTGAGACACCATGAGGTACAGTTGTAGACTTACAAATTTTTGTGCTTGGGTTTCAATTATACAATGATCAAATACCCATCCCTCCACCAGTGCCCGTTTTCCACCACCACGGATCCCAGTATCCCTCCCACCCCCCATCCCCCCCATTCCACCCAGCCTCTGTGGCAGGCCATTCCCCTCTGTTCTCTCTCTCCTTTTGGGTGTTGTGGTTTGCAAAAGAGGCACTGAGTGGCAATCTTGTTTGGTCTATAGTCTACTTTCAGCATGCTTCTCCCATCTTGGGAGGATGCAACTATCTTCTCTTTCTGAGTCTCCCAGGATGGGGATTTTCAGCCTGACAAAGCCCAGCGAATCTCAGTAATTCTATTTCTCATCCAGGACACACAACAATGGCAAGCTGCCCTGTCCTCAGCAGATCAAACTTAACGACAGAACTGTGTCTGCCTGTCGTCGTGAGTGCAGACGATCTGGCCCTCCAGTGGGGTCCGCCCACCCTGGCCTTGTGGGCCATCTGCTCTGCGCCCGGCCATGACTGGTGGTTCCTGGGCGTTTCAAAGCTTGTGTTCCACCCCCTTTCATCATGCTGATTCACACTCTTTTCCTTAGAACTTTTATTTGTTCTAGATGTTTTTGCAAGTTCTTAGCCACGGGGTTCTTTTCTTCTAGCCTTTACAAACCATTTTTCTTGGCGCACAGATTAAAGCCTGTCTCTCTGTGTCATTGAATGAAGATTTCTAAAACTTCTCTGGATCCTGGTCCCAGAATAAACCTTTCACAGCACAGACATTCTTCTTTCAGAGCTACCCCCCCCCCCCCCCCCCGTCTTTCTCTTTACAACTGAGTTCCTGTCCACGTGTCTGTGAGAGCAAGAGGCGTCTGTCACATGCTTGTGCAGAAGGCCAGCAGGCAGTCCGGGAGAACGCTCCACATTGAGGGTCTCTGGAAGAGGCCATCTGGGCGCAGAGGACAGTAACCTGCCATTATCACATATCCAAGTAGTGGCCCTGCCCAGCAGATCTGCTGCCTCGGGACACTGCCCACACCTCCCACATACACTGAAGTCACAGGCGCTCATGACATCGAAGGACAGCAGAGAGCCTGGTCTTCCTTCAGGGTGCTCCCTTCACATTCCGATGGCCAGCCTGGCCACAGTGGGTTGAATTAAGAGGCCCAGTTCTCTGGGACTACCAGGCAGTCCCTCCTGCTGTCTGTGTTCCTGACATACACTCATCCCTGAGGGACAGGGCGGACGAACCACAGGAGGGCGGAATCTGGCTGGCCAGCACAGCTGTAAACAGAGGGTGATAAATGCAACCGGCGAGGCTAATGGAGGGTGGTGGGAGCATTAACCCTGCCAGACTGGCACCTCTGCCCCCCTCTGTTCTGGGGCACTTGACTTTCATGCAGCCAAGCCCGGCTCGATCCTCAGCACCACCTATAATCTCCCAAGCACTGCAGGGGTCTCCCCTTGAGCACTGCCGGGAACGGTCCCAAACCCAAATCAACAGGCAGAATGGTCTGGGCATGAAGTCTTGACCCTCAGCCTCAGTCCTGAAAATCAGCCAGCACAGGTCACGGGGGGCCTCCCCAGACCATCTCGCACCTAAGTCAGTGCCTCCTCAACCAGGGAGCCGAGTTCGGGACCACCAAAACGCTCTTCTCCCTGGTACTCCTTTTCTCTCACACGTGCGGGCGTGCAGACAAACGAAGCCGGATGTGAATTCCTTGTGATGCTAAGTTGGACCCTGGGTGGATGGGCCCACCCCATAGTCCTGACTTCTCCAGTGACCCGCCTCGGCAGGCAGCCCACACCCCAAGGCAGGCCTCTGTGTTTTTGTTTCTGTTGAATGGAGAAAGAGAAAGAGACAGAAGTGAGCAACACAGGCGGTTCCTCCTTCTACTGTGCTTGGCTTGACGAAATACTTGCCGGGTACATGTTTGTTGCAAATGAAAGGTTTGTCATTAGAAGGCAACCTTGTGCTGAGCAAGCTTGTTCTTAACTTTTGTTTGGGGACCACACCTGGTGCTGCTCAGGGTTTCCTCCTGGCTTACTCACGCGCCCCGGGATCACTCCTGGAGGTGTTCATGAGACTATCTGGGGTACCTAGGACAAATGCCCTACATGCTGTACTATCTCTCTGGACCCTGAGTGAGCTTATTGGAGCCATTTTTAACATCATAGGCTCACTTTGTGTGTGTGCCACATTTTTTAGGGGCAAGGGTACCTCAAACATTGTTCAGGGGTTCCCGGAACCACTCCCAAGGATACTTGGGCCAGCCATACTGACCTCAAAGGTTCAGTGCTCAGTGCTGCCTGGGCCCAGTGGTGCTGGGGGTGACCAGAACCCCATGCAGCAGTGCTCGACCAGCCATTCTGTTCTGGGTATGGAACTCAGGATCTTGCACGTTCAAAGCATGTGCTCCAGCTCTTTGAACTACCCCCCTGGCCCCTCCTTGTTCCGTTTAATTAGACTTGTTTATGGTTTTTTAAAACGTAATGCTCTTCCCTGTGTAGTAGCCTGCTGTGTGGTATGAACGTACCTTGGATATGCACCGGTAACCAAAAAAAAAAAAAAAAACCCACTTGTGCTCACTCAGTTGTGAATCACCACTTCTTGGTGGTGGTCTGGCGTCAGACTCAGGATCTCTGAGGTGTGTCAGGATTATTTCAACCTAAGGGGCATTTGTGAGATGGGAAACCATGTCACATCACTTACATCAGTGTTTATTGGATCGGTGCGTAAAAACAATCAACAAAAAAAAATTCCTAAAATGTGGGGCAGAAGACTAGTTATTGGAATAAGTACATGGTTTTCTGAGGGCGTTACTTTGAATGTAGGCATTATTCATGTGGATATTAAAAAAATTAAAGTTCTAGGGTAGTCTTTAGGGGAAAAAAGTCATGATGGGGCCGAAGCAGTAGTACACTGGATTGTGTGCTTGCCTTGTACATGGCCGAGCTGGGCTTGATCCCCAGTGCTCCACCAGTAGTGCTCCCTGAGCACAGAGCCAGGAGTAAGCCCTGAGTAACACCAGGTGTGGCCCGAAGCAAACAAAAATGTTTAGTCACATTTCATCATGCCTTCCTTCACCATTCTTAATATTTCATTATTTGTTGGTTTGATTTTGGGTTTGGGGCCAGACTCGGCAATGCTCAGGGGTTCCTCCTGGCTCTGCCCTCAGAAATCACTCCTGGCGGTGCTAGGGGCACCAGATGGGATGCCCGGATCGAACCCGGGAAGGCTGCATGAAAGATGCACACCTTATCCTCTGTACTGTCTTTCCGACCCCACCATTCTTAATACTTTAAACTATCTGTTATCGATTAGACTCTCGAGGTGTGCTCCATACCTGCTGGGGACAGAAGGAAATGATAGTAGAAGTTGTGGTGAGATGCCTTTTACTTTAAGGGACGGGGCACTGGGACTGGAGCACAGCGGGTAGGGCATTTGTCTTGCACGTGACCGACCCGGGTTCGATTCCCAGCATCCCATATGGTCCCCCGAGCACCACCAGGAGTGATTCCTGAGTGCACGAGCCAGGAGAAAACCCTGTGCATTGCCAGGTGTGACCCAAAAAGAAAGAAAGAAGAAAGAAAGGAAGGAAGGAAGGAAAGAAAGAAAGAGAAAGAAAGAAAGAAAGAAAGAAAGACAAGCCACTGAAATTGGTGGTTAGTTGCACAGGTAGCCCTACGTCAGAGCAAAGTAAGAAGTCATCTGAGGGCTTGGGGAAGCAGCTCCAAGGGCTAAAGCACGTGGTTTGCAATGGGAGCCCAGGATTCCATCCCCCGCACGCTGGGAGCACTGCACCCCCA